CCCCACCCCCAAGACGCTTTCTTTAGCATTTCTTTGGCAAGCTGTTTAGTGATCCAAGTCCAGAAAGCAAAATTTTATGTGAGAACAAAATAACTATTCAATTTTTTTAAACATCTATGTTATATAACTTGTCTGGTTAAGTTCAGAGGAACCGCCCACAAAAAGGACATCCAGTGTGTATAATATATAGGATGATTAAACCTGTGCCAAATCATACAATACTATACAGTATTTTATTACTTAAAGTACAGTAATATGTATATTCACAAAGGATACGTGAGCTTGATCAGCACGTCACTAAGTCATATTGCTAAGTTCACAACTCATAGCATGCCTTGTTCTGTAGTGGTATTCATTTGGAGGACTATCGTAATGTTTACGGTTAAGTAATAAACGTTATTTTTTAAGTCATCGATACATACAATGCTAACGTTATTCTCCCATTCAAGATTATAAAGTCTGGTGGAGGTTAATAATGTTCCTGTTAGATTGTGATACAATGTCTAACACAAAATTGTTTTCTTTTATTTGCAGGCAGCCTATTAACGGCTAATTTTAGTCAACTGGTGGACTCCGACCATACCTATTCCAACATAGGACAACTCCCTACATCTGCAGACATAATGCCCAGTGTACAAATAGCGGCTGTCGCTCTCAGTGGAGTATGTTCTGTATGCTGGCGCTAATGACACGCTGTTGATGGAAAAACCCTTAGTAGATCAAACCTGATGGCGTCAAACCGTCCCAAAACGATGATGGATACTCTCGAAACCAAAGTTCGTCCCTGTACCCCTGATTATTTTGGAGTGGACCTCGGCGGGGAGGACCCGGCCAAAGGCTGATATCGATCGATCCTCTGACGGCAGAACAACTGACAGAGATGTGATCTTTGGCACCGTTTTCAGCTAAACTAAATGATATGGAAACCGTTTCCATGAGACGGTCTTATGTCCTTAATTTGTCGTGATGAGGCCATGAGTCAAAACGGATGCCTACAGAGATAGCCGATAAGTTACATATCATGTTATTAGTATCAGTTGTGATCAGACTTAATCATACCTGGAAAATAGTTTTGAATTACAGTAAATTCTTCTGAAGGACGGGTGTGGAAATGGCTCTTTTGGAAAGATGTGAAACTTGAATGGCTTCAAACTGTACCTACTCAATGCTACGTTTTTCACACAAACGTTTCTCTTGACCAGACTACATTTAAAGTGCACTCATCATCGCCAGTTAAAAGTGCAGGGACATCGCCACAGTATTAGTATGGACACGTCTTTTACTGTTGAGGTATTTTTAAAAGAAGGAGCTGAAAGCGTTTACCCAGCGTAAAGGATTTCAGAATGGCACCATTAGTTTCACTCTCTTAAAATGATATACGTCGCTATGTGTTTTCAAGGTACATGTCTACCCTGGGCCGTTTTCTTCTGTTCTGAAAAAATCGATGTCGTTCAACTAAAAAAATGTTAACATTGCTCTCGCAGTTAGACAAAGAATTCTCTGTCTTCCACTGGTGACGGGAGCTCGGAATGCCTTGAAAACAAGCCTCCCATTGTTGGACAAAAGCTCAAGGAATGCTCATTGTATTTACAACTCAGTGTCAGTTCGAACAACAGTGCACGTAACTCTGACGTGGAACCCAAATACAGATATGCTTAAGCCTTACATTCTAGATGACTGCAATTCCTCCACACCATCCTCTTATTATCAGCAAAGGTTTTTCTTCGAAGTTCTCCTGGCACAAATTAACGACTC